TTTTTTTTAATTAAATCATAGCTGTGTACATTAATGCAATCATGGGGTATAGTGTGGTGTTTTCATATACAATTTGAAATATTTTCATCAAACTGGTTAACATAGCCTTCATGTCTATGTATGCTTTTCTAAGGGAATCATGACAAGATCCCTTTGTTTCTTAATTTCCTCCAGAACAGGCCACACCCATGACACATTAGAAAGTGAGCAGCACCCTCTGGAGTCAATGCAGCAACTTTGGCCACTCATTCCCTCTGCTTGGGTAGCATAAAAACTGGAAGATTGCTCCTGCCACAAACCTTCTCTTAGAACTCTACATTAGATGGTAAGTATAAATAACAAAATACTCTAATGTCAATTTCTAAAAAAAAAAAACTCAGGAAGCCATATGCAAAAACAAAACTCCTTTTATGTCTATGGAATTTACTTTCAAATACTTCTATATACACATAGTATGATGTGCAGGTAACAGTTCAACCTAATGTTATTTCTAGAAGACATTAGAAAGCATGCCCAGGACCTCAAAAATGAATCAATACTCCTGGGCCAGTTACCTAACTTACAGAGAATGCTGATCAGCAGTAAGTTATATAGGGCTTTAAATGTTACTATTAAATATCTATATAAGTAGGTTTGTAATAGCATAAAGATATTAGAAATAATTTTTTATTTGTGAAGTGAGTGATATTTAAGGTAGATTATTGGTTAGGTTTGCTTTGTCCCCTTTTCAGGAAAGGGGTATAAAAATTAATCAAGTCTGGCAGACTGCAGTCATCAGTGTAACCCTCAGATTAAGGACACTGTTCACCTGCATGTCTCCAACTTCCAGAGACCCTATCACCTGACCAGATAACAACACTTCTAGATCCTGCCAGCAAATTATTATTACATTCATCTTGGGGTGAACTTTCACAGAAAGTACTAGTTGGAGATCCTAGTGCAAGAGTGGATTACCCTGAATATAAAATCAGCTAGTATGACTGTTTTCATGCCACTTGTATCAGCACATTTGATGGAATTTGATTTGAAACTTACTTTCATGAAAATACAATACCTGGCAGCAAAACTTCACCTGTCTTAAACCACTGGAGGCTACTAACATTTAACAAAAGATAATTATATTCTACTGAATGGCTCAATTGGTTTTATTTCCAAATATATGTGGCAATCCCATAAAAACATACAAGATTGTTTTAAAATAGAGTGAACAAGAATTTCCTACAAAATATTAAAACTCAACTAAATTACTGGGTCTTTGGAAAATAGTATGTGTAGCTCTGTATGTCTGCGATATGTGTGTTGTGTTAAAGAATAAAAATCTAGAGTCAATTTGATAGTAAATTAACATATTTATTTTACCTGGTGATAAGTTGGTCTTTCGTTTTTTATTTGTAAGAAGGAAATCAAGCAGTGTTTTATAATTTTCTAAAGTCAATTTTATTGTCGGTAATACTGTTCCTGAATTATAGAGTGAGAATATACTAGGATCATATGATCGGAAACTGCAGGGGGAGAAAATCACATTAAAAATAATATAAGCAAAATTGAATTAAATCTATCAAACACAATCCATGTTTACTTTTAAAAACATCTGTAAGTGAATGCGCCCAAATTTTGGATCATAAAGTATTTGGCACTTAATCAAAGCCTAACATTTTCCCTTTTAACTTTTAAAATTATACAATGTAACTTTGCTCTTAGGAATTTTAACATCTGTACCCCTTTCCCTTAAAAGGCCCTTGCAAATGGGAATAAAAAAATGAGCTCTGAAACAATAATTTATGTCAATTTAAAACCACCTGACTTACACACACCTCAATGAAGAAAGCTATGATATAGAGTAATGTGTCCATAATTAATGCCAATTTTAAAAAAAGGTCTAAGCAGTAAAAGACCTTCTGCTAAAAACAAACAAATAAACACTGAGCATACATAACAGTTTTAACAAAATCGATGTTAGCACCAAGTTACCCTGACGTGAATTTGGTCATTGCCTCATCATGCATCAGTCGTCATTCATGAGTGGAAGTTTGGAGACTCCACCGTGTTCAGAGAACAGTCAGGAAACCCTTCTGATCTGAACTATTTTCACTGTCATGGCCCCATGAAGGGGTTACTTCTTCAAAAGCCTTTCCTGTCAGTCAGACAAGCTAACTGCTTCCTGAATTCAGATCTGGTCTGGCCGACAAAGGAAAGGGAGCTATCTGGAAATGTCTTTGCTAAGGCTTCAGCTGGCAGAACTGAATTCTGCAGAAACAGAAACTGGAACCAAGTTCATTTTGGATTTCAACCTGCATTTTTTTCACTGCAGTATTGAAATAAATATCCTCTTAATTCACATCCCTGTCTTCTGTCTTTCCTCCTTCCAATCCATTTGATATGTTGCTACCAGAGACATTTTTTACCATGGCCCTGCTCAAAAAACCTCAATCACAGTGATTTTCAATTGGTATGCCTTGGCACACTGGTGTGTGTTGTGAAAAATTTTTAAGGATCATTAAATAAATTATTTTTAAAAGAAGCTCAAAACACAGTAAGTATATTTTCTTTTACTCTTTTTTTTTTTGATCAAGATAATTCAAGTATGCAGTGGAAGTTTAACTATAGGTTCAATTGTGCCATGAGATAAAAAAAAAAAAAAAAAAAAAGGTTGAACCACACTGTTCTACTATATATAAAATAAAGCTCAGATTTAACAGACATGTGAGACCCTCCATGATCCAGCACCAACCTACTTTTCTATTATATCATATGCCCTTTCATATGCCCTAGATTCTGGCCAGACTGCGGTTCTCATCCTCTGTTTACTTGTTTACTATCTGGACTTGGACTCATGCTCTTTCAACTAGGGAGAATGTCTATTTCCCCATTTCCCCATCTGTATGTTTCTAAACCCCACCTATCCATTAAGACCTACCCCTTGTGGTCTCTCCCCATGAAATCTTTCCTGTTAGTCCCACCCAGAGAAAACTCTCCTTCCAGGAACAAAGAAGACTCAATATGCTCTTTACCTTCTATTGTTAACTATATTTATTATCCTACCGGACTCTAAGTTGTATATCCTGTTCATCTTTGCATACCTCTTGCACCTGAGCTCAGTGCTTTGTATATTACAGGTACTCAACAAGTATTTTTTTAAAATGAATGACTCTATCTATAGCATCCTTTTGATTGTTACATAGCATTCCATATTATGCACACATCTCCTACTTTATCTCCTACAGTACTTAGTCAATGAAACTCAGTAAGAATTTAAAAATGCCTGTTGAATTAATGATAGCAAGTTTACACTGTATAAGAAAATGTGTTGACTGTTTATAGACACTTAAACTATACCTCTAAATGAAATAGAGTTTTGCCCGATGTTTATCAATATCCATAGTTATTATATAATTCATATATAAATTTATCTTGGAGTTTCACTTTATCCTCACACTGAAAGCTAGATTGAAAACCATATTCAAGATTTTTACAAACTAGTAGTAGTTCATAAGAACTTATATCCAGACTTGTTTGGGAAAGATTCTTAAATAAAAACTTAAGGAATGTATCGGCGACCAGTATAGAGGCACTCTGTAAACCTCTTTAAGGTGTTATGAGTATTGTAGCTCTGAAAAATCAAATACAATCCAGTTCATGAAGCTAAAATCATTATCATTCATTGATAATATGCTATACCTGACCACCATGTGGGAAATGCCATACTTCATTTTCATACGCTCTCCTAGCTTTTGTAAAAGCAAGTGAAAGTGTGCAGTTGCCAGATACATGTTCATCTGTGCTTTCCAGGGCATCTCCTCAAGAAATATCTGATGGAATCTTTTTCTTCTAATATAATTTAATACCAGAGGATTCAAGGTATCTAGCAGGTATCGATGTGCTACTTTTCTAACATCGGCTCTCTTATTTCTGCGAAGAAAGGAAGAAGTTTTGAAATTACACAAAAATGTACAGAATTTAATAAAGAAGAATGGTTCCAATTTGTACAAAATACATCAAGAAGTCATTTGACTGCCCTTGTGTAAATGTTTCTGGCTCATCTGTCATTTCCTCAGTGTGAAAATCTGACATGGGGTAGTAAAGAAGGCACAGGGATGAACACCAGAGACAAAGACACCTGGTGCCTTCAACTCTTTTTGACATTCTTTTCCGTAACCAAAAGGCTAAGATTAGACAATTATGATGTAATGTTCATAAGCATCCACTAACTTCAATATTAAATAAGAAAATCTTTTCTCTGTATTGGTCCTTAAGGAAGAAAATAATTCAGTGAAATTTTGTCTAACATTAGTTAGACTCTAGAGGAAATAAAACCTCAGTCAAAGACAGGCAAAATGACTTTGTAAATGAATATTCAACATGGTCTACAAAAAAATGACATGCAAATTTTAGCTAACAGTTCAGACTTCAAATACAACATATATCCAAGTTTTAAAAAATCATTCCTATCAAAACTCAAAGTAGTCCAACTAGTCACAGAGTTATAGACTTGTTTACAGAGCATAAGTTCATGTCTTTAAGATAATATTAATTTTTTTGTACCCCTGGCAATGTTGCTGCCCCACTGGTCACTACCATTCTACCTGATTTATATTGTTCACTTATAGAACTATTGATCTGATTCTGAATCAATACACCTACACACGGAAAAAGAAGGATGGAAGGAAGGAGGGAAGGCAGATAGATGTCTAAGAGAAGAACAGACATTGCAAGGAAGAGAGGGAGTGAGGAAGCTTCCTTTTTATATATAGTGTTTACATTATCATTCCATTCCAAATATTTTGTACTTTGTTGATAATTTCCTCTTAATTCAAGGTTCTGGGGCTTTTGTTGTTTGTTTGTTTTCAGTGATTTGCTATTTGGTTTCTCAACAAAAGTGAATCTTTTTATTATAATAACTGTATCTTCAAAGTTCAAACTATAATTTTCAAAATAAAAATCAATCTTGTCCTTGTATGAGGAGATCAATTCTCCTCAAAAGGCCAGGAAGAGTCAATAGGATCAAGTGCATGTCCCCTGCTGCTGGGAGTGAAATGGTTAGGGAGATTGGGGAGAGACTAGGTTTCCTCCAGGTATCTTGGCAAAGTTATGACAGGCTCCAAGAGGCTTGGAAGGGAGTTCATAGCCCACAGAGAGTAGAGAAGGCTTCTCCTTCTATCCAACAATGAGATCTGTGTCTCCATGAGCAACAGATCTGAAGAGACCCACCAGAGAGGAAGCTTGGAAACTCAATAAGGAAAATCTGCAGAAATTCTCAGTGAGATGGAACCATAAAAGCAAGCAGATAAAAACCTGAATTTAAAAAATATTAAGGAATCCTAAAACTGCCTTCTAAATGATAAGTCCTAGCTTACAGAAATGAGCTCAAAGTTTGACATTAATGGAATCAGGTTTCTCACCATTAGGGCAAAAGAGTTACAATTAGGAAAAGAGAAAGCAATGGAAAGTACCTTGTGGTTCTGAATTGACATTGGAGGTATTAGAAAGATTTTAAATAGATGTAGAGATATTTGTATATCTACATTTAGATAGATATAGATTTGGATGGAGATATAGATAGACTAGACAGATAGATTTATGTGGACAATTCTATTTCCTATCTCTGTCTGTTTAGAGGGTATGGAAAGCAAATCCAAATAGCCACCAACATACCCCACACCTTAGAGTCTACACACCAACTTTAACTAAAAGGAATTTAAACTGTATTTGAAAGGTTTTACGTATTTTGTTTGGTAAATTGGTTTGGTTTTAGTTTTAGGGTTTTTGTTTGTTTGTTTTTTGAGACCAAGTCTCACTCTGTCACTCTGGGTAGAGTGCCAAGGCACCATCGTAGCTCACAGCAACCTCAAATTATTGGGCTCAAGAGATCCTCTTATCTCAGTCTCCTGAGTACCTGGGACTACAGGTATGTGCCACTACACCTAGCTAGTTTTTTTCTATTTTTAGTAGAGATGAGGTCTCACTCTTGCTCAGTCTGGTCTCAAATTCCAGAGCTCATGGAATCCACCCACCTTGGCCTCCCAGAGTGCTGGGATTACAGGAGAGAGCCACCACGTCCAGCCACATTTTACATGTTAATGTGCATATTGGGTACATGAATATTAGTTATGTTGTTTTCTACACTCATCCAAAATGCCATAATTTAAATGAAGAAAATGAAGAAATAATCAAAGACAGAGAGAGCAAATGAAAACAAAAAGAAAGCAAAAGTTAATGTAGTACAAATTAAGCTCAAAATCACTAACAGGTAAAGAAAGACATTAAGTAATGAAGGTAAGGCATATGAGGAATGTGTAAGAATTAAAAATGTGTACTAATGAAAGCAGAAGCTAATCATTTTACCCTGATAAGTTTTATGATCAAGAATATTAGGTCCACAGATAATTAAAAGTAATTTGCCAATTTGTTCTCCTGACCTTCCTATCTAAATTACTGCCCCTAACACTTTCTGACAAGCCAGTCACACTACAGCATACCACTCTTGTCATCTGCTTAATAAAATTTACCAAAATTTTAAATGGTCTTTCTGTGGTCCCTTGTTTGTGTGTTCACTTGTTGACTATGCTCCTTTCATCATTACAAATAAGCTGCTTAAAGACAGTGATTTTACATTTCTGGTCCACCAGTATATCCCTAGTACACAAAACAATGGCAAACACAAGTAAACTTCTACTTAATTAATTAATTAGTTTATACCTTTCATTTACTGGCAATTCATAAATATTTGAATTTTTGGCAAAAAATTCTCGTAGCGTTTCCCTTCTTCTCCTTTTTTTGTGTATTATTTCTGCAGTCTTAAAAGAGGAGATAAAAAACATTACAAATTACATTTAAAATTTGAACATCATAGTATAATTTATTCATATTCTAATGCTTATTAGACATTCTAATGACATTCTATTGACATGAAATACATTGGTTTCTATATGACCTTCAGTTACAATTACTGTCAAAAGAAACAGAAGTAATCCTGTAGACAAAAAGATCTGATTATAAAAATACCAAGTTCTTCACCCGTTGCATTTCTTGGAGAATACAGGTGTCTCTGCAGGAGACTCTGTCACCCTGTGATGTACAGGTACTGGAGATCTGTAGGGACAACACCGGGACATCCCAGAAACTGAGAAATGGTAGGGGGGGAGCAAGATGGCCAACAGGTACCAGCCTTCAACAGAAGCTCCTGTCCAGAGGGAAGGATACAGTCCAGAAAATACCCAACAAAGTTGAAGACTAGGAGCCCAGTCAAAAGAGAAGAGTGATATCTGCAGAACAACTCTGCTGAGGCAAGTTGTGACTCCTAGAAAGCAATCTACAGGTACATAATACATCCCAAAGGAAGGGTGTCCATCCCCTCCTCCAAGAAAGTTGTGTTTTTTCTTTGTCTGCTCCTATGGGTTTCCTACAGGCCAGCAGTGAACTGAGGACTTATTGTCTCACCCCACATGTGAGAGCTACAGAAAGAGGGGTCTACTCCCCTAGAGGAACCTTGCTGAGACTCCAAACACCCGCTAGCCAGGCAGAAAATAGAACTAACATTTCGCTGCCATTTTGAATTCCCAGTCCACCTTTCCCCTCTTGCCTGCAGAGACAGTGAGAGAAGGCCCAAGAACAGTGTTCCCACCCCCCCTGTAGGACCAAGCACCCTGTCCTGGCCCTGCAGCTAGAGAACTGCTTGAGCTGCGTGTTTCCCGAGTGGCTGCAGCTCAGCTACTGCCTCCAGGCACCCGGGGCACCCTGAGGACCATTTGACCCGTGTGTCCCCTGTGCAGCTGCCATCCCTCGGCCACCACTCCCAGGCAACCAAGTGGGGCGCACCAAGGACTCTTTGAGCCACACATCCCCCATGCAGCTGCTGCTGCTCAGCTTCCACCCCTGGGCACCCAAGCACCAAGGACTGTTCAACCCACATCCCCCGCATGGCTGCCACCACTGGGCCACCACCCCCAGGCACCCAAGCCAGGCATACTGAGAACTGTTCAAACCACGCATCCCCCTAGGCTGCAGCCACTTGGCCATGGCCCCCGGGTAGCTCGAGCAGGTTGCCCCAGGACTTTTGACTCACTCATCCCCCGCGCCTGCCACCACTTGGCCAATGCCCCCAGGCACTGTTTGACCCACCTGTCCCCCGCACGGTGGCCACCACCCCCAGCACCTGAGCAGGGTGCCCCAAGTCTGATCAACCCTCGCATTCCTGGCATCCCAGGCCAGGTGGCCCCAGAACTGCAAGCGGACAGTCAGTTGAGAGGGAACCACACAGGTGTGGCAGTACCCAGAGGTGAAGAGCAACAGCTGCACCAGCTAGAACAATAAGGCTCACACCCTCAAAGCTTTTCTGGACAGACATGCTATATTTCTCCTGGCAACCAGAGGAAGCCAGCATCTTCTCCAGTGGTAGCCACAGGCTGAATGGTTTGGGAATGGTTTCCAAATGGTGCAAATTCACCATGGGGCAGAATCAGCAGAAAAACTCTGGTAACCTGAATAACCAGAGTAGATCAAATCCCCAAGGAAGGATGGGCAGAAGCAATTGAAGATCCCATCCACAAACAGATGGCTGAGATGACAGAAATTGAGTTCAGAATCTAGATAGCAAATAAGATTAACAGGTTGGAAGAAAGCAGGGAAATAGAATTTCAAGAAATTATTCAAAAGCTATCTCAAGAAATTATTCAAAAGATGTCTGAAGAATTCAATGATTTCAAAGATAAAATGAATCTATGACAGAGAAATTAAATACTTTAAGGACATTCACATGTTGAAAAAATTTGCCATAAATAAAATAGCTCTCCAGGAAATTCTCAAACTTATCCTCCATAATGACCAGTGCAATCTTCGACCACAAAAGTAAACTCACTCAGAAACTTTTGATCAAACTCCAACTTCCTCTGTGGCAAAATGATTAAAAATGTCTACTGGACTTTCGAGCAACTCGATGCCCAAAATTTTACCAGGCTTATCAAAAGTTTCAATCAATGTGAATGGTTTAAATTGTCCTCTAAAGAGGCACAGATTGGCTGATTGGATACAGAAACTCAGACCAGACATCCGTTATATTCAAAAATTGCATCTTACTTTAAAAGATAAATATAGACTCAGGGTGAAGGGATGGTCATCTATATTCCAGGCAAATGGAAAGCAGAAAAAAGCAGGTGCTGCAATTTTATTCTCAGATACAATAGGGTTTAAACCAACAAAAGTAAGCAAAGATAAGGATGGCCATTTTATATTTGTTAAGAGTAATACTCAATATGATGAGATCTCAATTATCAACATCTATGCACCCAACCAGAATGCACCTCAATTTATAAGAGATACTCTAACAGGCATGAGCAA